AGGATGTCTCTAGGGTACGGACTCCTGCTGTTGTTAATTATGTTTTACTTATGATTCAGCCATTAAATCTGTAACTGACCCTAAGGATTATTGACTTACTAGTCATTAAATAATTACTTCCTATATTATTCCGCAGACTTTTAGTTATCAAACTTATGAAATGCCGTCACAATGTTTACTTACTTGAAAAACTGTAAAAGTGAATTTAGTTTAGCAAAGTATGATCTTTTTTGGTATTTTCCTAAACAGGCAATAGATATAACAGACTATTGTACCAAATTACTTAATGAATTGATCATACTCAATTTCTATACCCATCATCTTTGTGCAATACATTGAAGGCTACCGTAAACGAGATGTACGCTTAATTGAGATCATGAATCAATCAATGTTAGACCACGATTGGAAACCTGAGAATACAAGACGGCCGCTTGATACTAGTATGCGACACCCCATCAGTGCTCATCTACGATCTCGTGCGTAAGACTCGAATCTGTTGTTCTCGCGCTAACCCTTAAACTCTAGACCACTGAGCCGGGATCCAATAGTGCTGTCGTATAACTCCAATCATTCCACGACATTGAACGACCATCTCCTATTGTCTTTGGTGGGTAACTGCCTCACACCGGACACGGTTGAACTCCACTGGTCACGGCTTCTCACTAGAACTCTGGAAATTTCCTCTCAAAGCTAGTCATTACTGACCACATGATAATTATTGATATAGGGTTGTGGAGATCATTGAGTTTCATTGAAATCGTGAACTAATCAATGTTAAACCATGATTGTAAGCTTGGAAGCGCAAGTCATTAAGTTCCTTCCCGGTTTCCAATGATGATCTAACATTGATTGGTTCATGATCTCAATAAAAGCTTAACAATATCCACAACCCTAAACTGATATACGCCTAACACTTGATCATCTGTACTTTCACATACTTAGTGTTATAAAACGATTCTTTTCGCTGATAATGTACAGTTCATTATGAAAAAAATTCACATAAATTTGAAAAATGCACAATTTCAATTTTCGTTAACTAGTTCTTAGAATGGAAATTGCATTTAATAAATCCAGAGTAACTAACTTACTGGATTTAAAGTCGTTTTGAAGTGCAGTTTATTGAATTTCATCACCGACTCTGAGTCACAGATTGTATCCGATTTCCAGTAGAATAGAATGCATTAAGTCAGTATTTGAAAGGCTAACTCATTAACATATATATCATCAGTCCACTATTCATTTTTACCTAATTTGGTAAGATGGTCGAGTAGACTGTCAATAGACGTCAAATAAAACTTGTCGAACAAATTCCAGTGAATGAACTCGCATTTAATAATTGGGTTCAAATCTATTGATTGAATTCGATTGACCAACTTTTCAATGTTGCCATAGTTTAACTTTAAGGTTAAGATCTTGTAAATAAATTAATGGATACAATACGTCTCGAAAAGCTCATTGAATAATCTACTGTCAAAACCAACCCAGTATAAAATGAGCTGGTAATCCAATGATGGTATGAGATAATGGTTACTTAACACATTCCTACATTGTATCATCCTGACTACGGGAACCAACTTAACTCGTGGTTCTGTCTCACATACAACCGTCAGTATGTGTTGAGCTGAAGAAATTCCTACCTGTTAGGTCAATCAGAAATCAAGCAAACGAAAAATGCACATGACTATCCAAGAAATGACTTTCGTTTTCAAGAAATGAGCCACAGGCCATTGTTGAAATGATTTTTTAGGGAATAATTACATATATATGCATACATATCAATTAGGTTTACTCAATGAACTTCCTTTCTCACTTTGTTTTTTCACTCGAGTAGCCGGTTGGGCTCACGCATAGGAATGGTGAGAAGCAGAGCAAGTCCTCGAATGTCGTACGACACAACATTTCCAAAATAGGATGAGACGGCTGTCGAAATGCTTTAACTGGCTTCAGTGTGTAATGAAAACTCTCTTCACATGAAATAATACAAGCCGCAATTTTATTTAGAATTAGGTGAATATTCATAAAGATTACTGTAAAATACTTCAGTTACATCACTAAGATATGCACTAATTAAATAAAAATTGAATAATCCAAACATGTAATTGTTATATCCCGGGGAGAATTATGAATGGTAACTTTTGAGGACTGTTTATAGACCAATATGATATGTATATTTCCTATTGTATAATTTTTTAAGTAAATAAACTTTTCATATTCGTGTCCCTCTTATCATAAGCTTTATTTTGACCTATGAACTATTATTATACGACTTACCATTCTTGAGTTATCCCCAGTCTATTCATTATTGTTCCCCCAATTCACAGCCACATTTGGCCAAATCTTGTACAAATGTTATTTTCTATTTTATAGTACGAGGTGGTCAGTTTGTTTGGTATATAAACGCAGTATGTTTTGGAATAATGATTCATATTGCAGAAGCTGTTATTAGTGTTCTGGACTTAACTGACTGGGCTAGGCAGATAGTAGGACTGATAAGTACTCAAGACTGCTCATACAGCTTTTGTGTCTCATTGCTGTGATCGATAATTCACTCCACTCTGATTGGCAGGAATCAGGAGGTTCATATATTAACAAGGCACGCAGTCGACCGATATAACACTAATTTATACTGTGTTAAATACTAAGATTAATTATTAATGTAAACGTCTAGGGAGCAACGAAAATAAATGAAATATTCAGCTTACATTTACTACTAGCTGTTAATAGTTTAAAAAAAAAATAAATTACCTTTTAAAAGCAAATATTTATGAATTATCTTAATCCTCAGAGATAGAATTCATCTAATGTTTTGACACGAACTTTATTGGTAAAAAGATATAGCAATACTGTTTATCGGAACGACTGTTTTTACTTAATGAATGGTTGGCAAATAGAAAAACAAAAATAGTTTAAACAACAAACTGGTTTTTATCTAGACAACCACTGGTAATTAGATAATACTATTAGCTTATGACTGTAAAACAGTAACTCTCTATAGCCTTCATTATAGAATGAATAAAAAATTTTCAAGCAGTGCAGTGAGATTGTGATTTTTAAACCGTTTAATTGGTATCCAATTATCTAACTTTCTAATTTTAGTCAATTCATCCTGTAAACTACTTTTTAAAGATGGAACAATCTCGAAGAATGTTTCTTCATAAAAATGAAAAGGTAATATTCAAAGTAAATGTTTCACTTCCACTCTTCTATATAAATAAAATTCAGTTCACCGACTAGCAATATATCTCCTATAGTCCACAATCGTTTAATAGATTAAGCGGTATGTGACATATTTTCCAGGTATATATGGATTATGTCACGTGAAATAAATGCATTTGTTACCATTCTTTCATGTTATAAACAAATTCAATTAAAATTTCATATAAATTATAACAAAATAAAAAAAGTAAATAAAAATCCATTTTTCCCAATGGTTAATTAATATCCTTATTCTTTTCAAAATGAATAAAACGTTACCATAACTACACACTAAGTGTTGTACACACCATAAATGAAAAGTTTAAAAAAAGCATATGAGTAGTTGTATGTAAACATAACAGTTGGAACAAAAATACACTTGACTTATTTACTATCAATTTAACTAATTAACCGGTTTTCTCCCTCAAAATTAATTAGTAAAATTATTTGTTTCTATAACTCTGTAATTTGTTTATGTGCAGAGTATTTACAAATAGTTATTCCAACTGATTGATTGCTAATTTTCAGACCCTAATTTTGATTTAGCAAAGATTAATAAAGAATGGATGAGACAATGAAGCAAGATGTTTATGTTAGTGAACGATTGTTTTACGCAATACAAAATAATGATAATTCATTTTTGTATCGGTTGTTTGAATGTTTAGGACTGAAATTCATCAGTCTCTTATTGGCATATGTGCATACTGTGAGGATTGCCGTTAGTTTGTAAGTGTTTTCAAGCAGAAATAGATAGTAGATAGCGGTGGAACCCAAGAGGCGCGTTTCGTCCTGTTTGGGACTAATTAGCTGGTTGTACGTGCATCTGAGTTGATGTTCGTTCAGGGACTCGAACCTAGTGTCTTTAGCTTCAAACGTCATCGCGTTATCCACTTAGCTACTGAGTTCAGATAGACACTAGTTTGTGCAGTGGGGTGAAATTTTAATTCATCTTCGTATTGGTAAAATAATGATATCTAATGTTGGACAACGTGACTAAATAAACTACACCTACGTGTCTAAGGTTACCCACAACGTCATCAATGTTCACTAGGTGTGTATTTTCGGCCACTTTCCGTTTATTTAGTAAGCAAGTCCCGTATATAACAGTGTAATTTTCGTCAAGAACTTCATTTTAATTGTCTAGAGGTAGCCTGAATTGGTTAACGAAAAGATGTAGCTGTTGCCCAACATGCGAATAAAGAACACATATATGACTAAAGATATGGCGTGAAATAAAATCTCTAATTTAAATCACACTTGTGAGAAGCACCCATTCACTAAATGAACAGAAAATTGAATAAAAGTACTAAATACAAAACATTTATTGTAAATTTGAAACGTTGAGAATAACCTAAAACTATTCGTACATAAATGCTTATATATACCAATACTATTGTCGAACACTTAAACTTTGAATGTGAGATCTTACGCTTTGACTACATAACAAAAATGAACTCTACTCTGAAATTGTACATTTGGTTTTCTTTAGAAACAGTCTGTTTTTTCAGTGATTCAGTATTCTTTCTGTTGAATAGTTTTGATTATGAAGCTTCAATTATCATTCTAAGCATTATTAACAGAACATTAACGTAAAGTTTGAGATGTAAACTATTCATGTTAAAAAAGAAAAACACAACTTCATCATAAAATCATCAACCTGAAATATAAATCTCTACTAAGGATAATACAAGGTAGATTCTAATTCTTCATATTGTCTTCAAGAAAAAAAATTAAATCATGACGACTTTATTAAATTTTACTAAAAATGTGGAATTAACAGAGAATACTGAGCATATTAAACTCACTTATGAGTATCCTGTAGTTTACAGTCTATTTATTGATGTATCGTTCCGTCTAAATTGATGAAAAGAGCATATGCATAGAGATAAATAAATACTTAAAATACTGTAGTGAATTAAAGTTGATTCTCATTGTCTTATATAAAATTTTATAATACAATTAAGAAACAAAACTAAACTAATTAATTTTCTATAAAAACAAAAGATGTTAAGCTAATTCCAAACATGAAAAAACAAAAAAACAAACCCATTGAAAACAGTGAACACATTTAGTATACTTTTATATGGTTGAAATCATGAGTCAATAGAAGCTAGACCACCATGGAAAACCTGGAAGCAATAGACAGCCGTTTCGTCCTACTGTGGGACTCCTCAGAAGTGCGCATGCACGACCCCGCCTCGCTAAACTCAAACCCAAGACCTATCAGTCTCGCGCGCGAGCGCTTAACCACTAGACCACTGAGCCGGCATTCAACGGTGTTAATGTCTAACTTCGACCAATCCACGAAATTGAGCAACCATTCACCATTGTCTTCAGTGAGTTGATATCTCCCAACAGGCCTGGTTGAACTCCACTGGTTAGTGCTTCTCATTACAACTCCAGGAAATACCTCATGAAGCCAGTCACTAGTGAGTATATGATCATTATCAGAAGGGGGGTTTGTGGAGATTTTAGTAATTTTATATAGTTGAGATCATGAGTTAATTGAAGCTAGACCATCATAGAAAACCTGGAAGCACATTAAGTATGCGTTTCATGTTACTTTAAACATTGTACAATAACGACCATAGAAAGTTTTAAACTCATAAAAAATTTCTATTTTTGCAGTCAGTCTTATCAAGCCTAAACAACACAGTAATTCAATGCTTCATTAACTAATATTAATTTATGATATGTATTACCTTTAGAATAAAAATTATAGTTTACCGAAATGTTACTTTTAATGAAAAAGTCTTATTATTTAATTATTGGCCTTAAGTATTGGGAAAAATATATAATTTTTGGAAACATCAATTTATCCAGGATACTTAATAATTGGAAATAAGATAAACTTTTCTGAAATTGATTTCATTGCTATGATTCACAAATTCGATTTTTGCATAGAAACAACTTTTGGTTTTCTAAATGTAATTAAATGTAGAAAGTATAACAGTTCATTTAACTGAGGACTTCGTTTCTATGGAATTCTTTTAAAAGCAACACAATACTAGGTATATTTGATAAATTATTGATCAATGAATAACTGTGTTCCTTAATTTGGTGGGTTGCGATTTGAAATTCATTTGGATAATTTTAAATAAGTAGATAGATACTTTTCGACGGAGGGGATTTATAAAACGCGAGAAATTTTTAGCTATTGCGATTAACCAATTATACATACCAGTTCCTAAAAAAACATCTAGTAAACTTTCAGTTTATGACAGATAATACTGATGATATATTGGAACCCGTCTGAATAGAATAGCTAAAAAGACATTTAATCCAGCAAATCATTTTCCAGTAAAATATCATTCTTTTATACGATTTCGCGTGAAAGATAAGGTACTACGACTGGTCATTTCAATGTATTGACCTTCTATGGAGCCAAGTACTTAGCTCTTTTATAAAAACTGCTTCTTCATATTCGGAAGCATTTACAAGCATGATCTATCAACAGACAACAACATGTTCCTCATCATGCAGTAAACATAAAACGCTTATTCCTTGATTCATAATTTGACAACAGTTATAAAACCTAGTCAAAGAATCTACGAGGTATATGCTTAAAGCTACTTCATCCATCTACAATTGGAAATACGTTAGTTTTAATTACTTTATTTATTTTCATATTTCACTCCTACGTTACCAATAATGCTTCCATTTTACTCAGAGGTTTTTGATTACCATTGTTACTAACTCAATAAGTTTCATTTCATAATCATATGTTCGTTTTTCCTCATTCTAGACTAGTTTGATGTATTAAATCATGTCTCACATATTCTTACTATCAGAGGAACTTGCAACTCTGACAGGAAATCTATTCTAATGAAATCTGTTCCATAATACACAACTATACAAATTAATTAATTAATTACGATTTCCTTCATTGAAACTTATGAATAATTTTGAATCTATAATACTCTATATTTTATAAAATTCATGATTGGAAAACTGTGTATTTTTTTCTCATAAAAACCGATCTGTCACTTCAATAATGATATTATTACGGAGTGATATCAGATAGTAAAAAGTATGGACTACGTAATCACTAATCACATGCATCATAAACAATGTGAAGCTCAAAAGTCATGAGTTTTAGGCTGGTGTCTATTAGTGAACATATATTATTGAGGTGCGCCAAACTAGAATGTGGCGAGTATCTAGTTTTCTCCAGTTTTCAGTAATTCTTTACTTGACATTACTTTGTAATGTAATAAAAATGTTCAGATTAGATCAGTGTTAAAATAAGTATTCTGACTGAAATCAGTAGTGTCTCTCTCTAAATCCTTCAAATACATCCTACTATCGACATTTAGTCAATTAGACAAGAGTGGATAAGCTTTTTCTTTATCGTTTGGTAATTTATGTGCAGAAAAACATACTGCCTAAATGAATGTACTAATAAATAGTCATTAAAATAGATGATAATATCATATCATCGGTAAATTAAACATTAAATACAAAAATTTGAGTAACTCAGTTGGATTGTTGGTAAAAATTAATTCAATTTGAAGAGGTTTATATTTCAAGCAACAATAGTATAGAGCATTATGAATCCTTTTTATTGTAGTTTTAGGTTGTTCAATATTCTACATACTTGATGATCAGGCAGAATTGACTAAAGTTGGAATAATAGCAAGTAAATTTTGACTTGATAGTTTAAAGAAAACTAATGGCTCTGTGTTGAACCTATTGGTGGTTGCTGGTAGAGACTACTGAAAATTTTCACACTATGGCAAAATGATTTATATGAATTATTTGTTTTAATCTTGCTATTAATGTTGAGGACTGCAACTGATCAATCTCCTTTTGGCATACATGCATCGTGTGTGGACAGAGTCAATATTATTGGTAAGTTACAAGTATTTTCAAGCACAGAGATAAAGGATAGACGCGGAATCCTGGACATCAGTTTCGTTCCATTTGGGGCTCATCAAGTGGATGTATATGGATTCAAGATTTGATGTCCACCTCTAAGTGGATAACGCAATGATGTTTGAAGCAAACAGCGCTGGGTCGGAGGCCCGGGTTGGACATCTAGTTGACGAGTTCCAAATGAAACTAGACGCGTGTCCTGGATTCCACTGCTAAGTACTATTTTTCTCTGCTCAACTAGACAAAATAACTGTCTAATAGTACTCTGTGGTTTTCATAAAGTAACGAGTTTCACTTTCAGTTACTTCTACAATGATAAAACAGTGTTTTGTGCTTTTGTAGTTACTTTTTCTTCCTTCATTTGTTTTTTTCCTTGGTTTCTCTGTATTTTTCACTCAACTTTACCTCCTTTTTTCGCCCCGTTCAACACAATATGATAGATAAAAATAAAAAGACAGCAAACATAACACAACTACTCGAAAAGGGAATTTCCTGCAAATGTACTTATATATATATAGATATAAGTGGGTTTTTTTCGTTTTAATAACAATTTCGCTGGCAAAATAACTTTCTAATTTCATCCAAAAACAACGTGTATCACGTATGATTTAAAATCTTTGAATCGGCTCATTAATTGGACAGAAAACTGTTTCCTTACATCTATCAATATTTATTTTTATATGCTGAATTTTAATCAATATTAAAAGAAAGATAGTTTATAAAGGGAAACGAAATCTCATCAAAATCTTGTTTTAAAATCAAGGTTTACTAGAAAAAGTTTACGTCCCAATTTCGACATCGTTAATAATCTCAATTAAGTTCAGCTTTCTAGGATCATATAGGAGACAAACGAATAGCTATTATTTCCCAACTGTTTTATAAATTTCATTCAATTAAAATGTTTGCGTTCAAATAATCATTCATGGAAACTGTACATCTTTGGTGTATATTAATTGGATGTTAATAACTGTGATTAACACATCAATACACCTGCTTTGTTTCTTCGGATCTAGACAAAATATTACCACTACGCATTTTGTTGGTTAAAACATTTTGACTTTTCATTATCGAATCACTGACTTAAATTCTTTCCTTATTCACTACAGCCTAGTACACTTTCAATGCGACCTTAAGTTAAATACACGAATCGTAACTTGGTAACTAATATTCAATAACCCTTCACATTACGATGTGATACTTTATACAAACATAAGTAAAAACTGATAATTAGGTTTCCTTTTTTACAATAAACGTATGGATTATCTTACTAACTGAGACGTGCACAACGAATGATGGTGTAACGTAACATTCCGATACATTTTTTTGTTTTATTGTACTGTTTGGATTATCTTTTGCTAAGAGTACTAATAGTATCATACATGAGTCTTACTCCATAAGTTGTATACTGTCCATAAGAATTTGGTAATAACTTATTAGTCTCAGGCTTAACATTTTAATCACTTAGTAAAGCATTATAGAGGCTACTGAGAAAACAATAAAACCTTAGCTGCTTTACTGTTTTGATTATCGTTAATTTTATATGCAGAAAATCTCTATAGAAACAATACATTTATTTTGACTCTTGTGACTCTTTAGATACAATCTTAAATGTTAAGTTTCTGTACGGAATGAATGGTTCTACAAATAGAACTAACTATACTGTACAAGTTTTAAGGTATTCTTTACAAATCAAATTTATCCACTAAACAAAGATAGACAGCTGATATCAATCACTTATACCAAATAATAGAATCTATTGTAGTGAATGTTAACAAATCCATTCATTTTATGCATTATTAAGGTCAAACTTCAATAAGATAAATACTATGAATAGTTTAAGTTAAATGACTGAAAATGAACTAATTAAAGTTTTACTGTTTGGTAATAATTGACAATGTTTAGAAATGTATAAAACAATTAATATATTGAATCCAGATATTATCAGTTACACACACATGACTGGATTCATCCTTTTTTTAAATTGAGAATAGAACCAGATACTTATCATTATTCTAGAATCAAACGACTTTCCATAACTGTCTTTCATTCAAAAAGTTTTTAGCCAATATCTGAGCCAGTTATCTTGATTTCATTCTCTACATAAACCAACGTAATTAAACCTTGCTAATATATATGCTTTCTATGTTGAAATCACATTGATACTCATTACAGTACTAGAACATCAATGTTTAAGTATTCTCAGAACTGGAGTTTTAAAATCCCTCAGTACTAAATACTATTAAAATGTAGTATATATTGAGATGAAAGTAAGTATATAGAAATGCGATAAGAAATGATAATTGTTTTGAAATTTAGAAGCGATAAGTTTAGCTAGCATAAGTGACAGAATTGCGCTTACTGATGGATTTATTCCAACTGGAATTTCAGCAAATCAGTAGTCTTGTTCCGTATACCCTATGCAGTGCTACAATTTAATAAACCAACAGTCAAAAATAAAAAGCTTTAAAATCAACATAAATTAATAGCTAAAAGAGTTTTATTCCATATTTCATAATTTGAAGAACTGGTAATTTAGATGAACCTTTAAGCGTTTGACTCACTGATTTAAATTGCAACTTTCAAAAGGTCTATTAAAGAATGACCAACTTATGAGTAATCTGGAATAGTAGATTACCCTATGATCACTTTACTTACTTATGCCTGTTACCTCTCGTCGAGGAACATAGGTCACTCACTAGTATTCTCCATCCAACCCTGTCCTGAGCCTTCCTTTCCAGTTCTTTACAGTTGTTATTCATCCTTTTCCTATCTCTTTGGCCTTCCTCTTTCCCGCTTCCCTTCCGGATTCCAAGTTAGGGATTGCCTCGTGATGCAGTTTGACTATTTCCTCAGTGTATGTCCTATCCACTTCCAACGTCTTTTCCTAATTTCCTCTTCATATGGAAGCTCGTCTGTCCTCTCCCATAAAACACTGTTGCTAATGGCATCCGGCCAGTGAATGTTGAGTATTTTGCGTAGACAATTGTTTATAAATACTTGTACATTCTTGACGATGGATGTAGTAGTTCTCCACGTTTCAGCTCCGTATAGTAGGACTCTCTTGACGTTCGTATTGAAGATTCTGACTGTGAAATTAGCTGACAGTTGTTTTGAGTTCCATAAGATAAGATCCCCCTTCTTCGGTATCTTGATGAGGTATCCCTCTTTCCAGTCCGTCGGCACTTGTTCTTCCTCCCAAATCATCTTGAATAGAAGGTGAAGCATGTTTGCAGTTACTTCAGTATCTGACTTCACTGATTCAGCTAGTATATTGTCCGATCATGCTGCTCTCCCATTCTTGATTTGTCTGATGGCCATTCTGATTTCTTCGACCGTTGATAGAAAGACATCTATAGGAAGGTCTGTGGATGCTGTTTCGATATCCGGTAGGTTCAGTGAAGCTGGTCTATTCAAGAGTTCCTCAAATTGTCCCATTCATCTGTTCCTCTGTTCTTGAGTCTGAGTGATTGGTTTGCCTTTTTTGTCTTTGACCGGTTTATCTGGTTTACTATATCTCCCTGCTAGTTTCTTCGTTGTATTATATAGCTGTTTCATATTCTCTTCTCTTGCAGCGTTTCCGCCGTCGTTGCTAGTTCTCCCATGTATTTCTACTTGTCAGATTTAAAGCTCTTCTTCACTTTCTTGTTTTCCTCTGCGTAGTTTGCTTGTGCCTTGACTTTCTCTGTTCGTATTCGACTGTTGATCGACTATGATCACACTAATTCATTATTAAGTATAGATACATATTTTTTAGGCTCCATTTTCTTCACTTCTCTTAATATGGTTTCTTCCTTTTTATTGCTTGCAAGCATTTGATAAATATCCTAAAGTTAATAACGTCACCAGTGAAATGAGTTTTCAACTTATGCTATCATTTTTCTTCCAACTGAATGATCCAGTCGAACAGTTACAAGGGAGAGTAGAATTGATGTTAAGTATAAACTCTCAAGTATTTAATATCTAGCAATATTTTTATCCCCATGACCTAGAATCGTCAGATCCTTGTATTATCAACACATTTCATATATGAGATTATAACAAAGAAACTATAAAGAACAATTTATATCTTGAATGATAATGATTTTCAAGCCAACCGCTTTATTGTACAACCCGCGGTTAATGGTTATTTAATTATATGGTTCACAACGGAAATAAATTTATGGAATACTTAATGAAGAATTATCAAACCAAGTAACTTTAAACTGTTAACTATGAAACTTAATAGCTGTTTCTGCATGTTCTCTTAAATTTAATTGTATGCTAAGTTTGAAAGACCCGGAAAAATTTCAATATCATAAGGAATAATCTTATCTACTTCCAAAGGAAATACGTGAAGATTTAAATGTTTTATAATATAAAACATTGTTTGAAGTTCCTTTCAGTTCCTTTGAAGCAGAATACATTATTCTGCTGAATAAAGACTGACAATTTGCATCGGTTCGACAATCAGCTGATAGAATTATCTTGAACTCATTTAAATTAAAGAATATACTTTCTTGTTTTGTAGTTGAAAGCGTTAGTCAAAAACCTGGGAGCACTGGACGTTCGTTTCGCCCTACTGTGGGACTCCTCAGCAGTGCTCATCCACGACCTCACCTAGCGAGATTCGAACCCAGGACCTACCAGTCTTACGCGCGAGCACTTAACCGATAAACCACTGAGCCGGCATCCGATAGTGGCTTCAATTGACTCGCGCTTTCAACTATGAAAGTACTAAATCTCCACAAAACCCCTTCTGATTATTTCTTGTTTTGGTCAAATATACTGACCTTCACTATTGGCACAATCCTCATAGGTTAACACCAAAAACGATATGAATATTTAAAACTGGTAAACGTGATCGATTTTTGAATAATAATCATTTGATCGTGGAATCATGTAAACAACTTATCTAACATCGTGTTTTTAAAATCTTACTTGATGTAATATCAAAACATCCCCCCCAAAAAAATAGTTCATTGTTTACACAAAATCATTGTACTACAGATAATCTTTATATTACTCCCCAGTTGTGAGATATTATTTTATAATGATTGACAAAAATTTATAATAAAAAATTAAGATAAAAACAAGGCTTCACCGTCATCTGTTTAATGGCCACAGGCTAAGGGTAATGACGTCAGTTACTATTCAGCGATCGATTAAAGTAGATTTAACTAGGGACTGGTAAATATGTTAACTGAGGAGCTGATAATTACACGTTCAAAACGGACATAATGACAATAGAGTTAGTTTTACACTGTTGTACTGTACTGCTTAATTAAAATAAACATCCGTTTAGTATTCTGTAGTAATAACTAGTTAAATATTTCACTACTGTCGACTTTTAGGGTAAAGTATTTTCAACTAATTTAAAAATGTCGCTACAAGTAGAACATAACTTCAGTCAATGTTTATAAATTTACTAACCTATCCAAATAGCAAAATAATAGAAGCAGAATTAATCGTCATTAATCAGTCAAGAGATAATCTATGGAGGGATAAACGCCTAATTTTAATTTTTAAAAGTATAAAAACTGTGCTGGGATGCATTTAGATTTTGTCGAACAATCTGAATTTTAAAAAAGTAACACTTCCGTTAATCCCCATCTGGCACTATTTTTTAATTGACTATTGGAAACAATGTTTATCTCATGATTTTAATCATCGTTTTGTCTGAAAATAAACTTGACCAAAAACAAAACAACTCAAGTTTCGTCGTACATTAAATATATATTTAGACTTGCAATTCCCTAAATTTGTTTTCATATCCTAACAGCACGCTTAGATTGCAAAATCTGCCAAAATCACTTCTCACATGAATAACTTTTAATATAATAACAATACTAATACACGTGTGTGAGTTAGGGTGCGTGTGTGCCAGTGGGTAACTTGCTAATCTAAATTTTTTATGCATAACATAAATTATATAAATGGGAGAAAAAAACATATATAGTTGGAATTAAAGGTAACACAAGATCAGACTCCCCTTGGATAAGTTTCTAAAAATAGAAATGTTTTTCTAGATTACTATAAATATTTTGCTTCATTGGATTCCTGTTCTATCAAGTATGCATTTTGAACATAGACACACCTTCAAAAAGTCAATATTATTTGAAATAGAAGAAAATGAATCGGCAGAAATAAAAACCACTGATTTTGTGGATAGAAAGTAACTCAACCTGACAAATAACTCAATTATTATTTAGTTTTATTGTTTCGTTTCTCTTGTTCCCTCATTCTTCCTCTACTTGACTGAATCAACTCAACCTGTTCCAGAAGTGCGCCACTATTTGAAAAGTCTATATGACATTGTTGAGTATTTGATAATATCTAGATACCTATCTTCAATATGAATAAAGTATTTTCATGTCTAAAAATTGTTTTCAACCAACTAA